ATCCACTTTCGGCTTACGGAACCCATTGAATACCTTAATACTTTAAACTAAGATCAATGCACAACATCTTCAACTTAATGAAACACTCACCTGACTTTAGTATTTTCACTTTAAAAAACGAAAGAAGTAAATCTGCTGCGCACAATTTAAATGGCTTGCTTCCCTCAATAACTCAAACAGAATGAATGATTTCTTTTGTTTTCTCTTCGCAGTTGGCACGTGTCACTGCACCTATACCCTTTCTAAAGCGAAAAATATCCGACTACATAACTTTTACTTTTTTTAGTAAAAAATATAAAAAGGAATTCTTCAAAAATGGTACTATTAAAATGTTTTAAATATTTCAATAAATTTTAACGAACTAAATTTCTATAACTTAACTAAAAAATTATATTGTAATATTAATGTATAATACGTAAGCACAACATTAAAAGTAAATTCAATTTACTTAATTTTACTATAATCTATAATTTTTGTGGCGCAGCGACATGTGAATGCCCTAATAATTTAGGAGCATTATTGTATATCGAAAAAAAAACAACTAATATTGTTTTATAAAAGTAAATTATTATTAAATTATTTACTTTTATAAAACAATATTAGTTGTTTTTTTTCGATATACAATAATGCTCCTAAAATAGTAGGGCATTCACATGTCGCTGCGCCACGAAAATTTTTCCGCCAAAACATTAGTCGCTAGTCGGACATAACGGAGAAACTCAAAAGAAATAACGGACCTGCCGAAATTTGTCTCTGAGAGCGCCGAGTGCAGGCAGATTATAAGACAAAGAAAGAGAGGGAAGCTCCGAATATCTGCCTCTCTTTGTTGCACGATCGTTTTCGTAGGCAGTCTTCTACACTGCGCCGACTTCTCTGCTGACGTCAACAGCGGCACAGCGTTTTAGGCACAAAAAAAAAACAAAAAAGCTTTTTGCCTTGAGCCATGTCACCGCGTCCCTACTGCAGAACTGAAGGGAATCTTTTATCTTTGCCACACCTGGATAAATTTCATCATCGTCGAATCATAAGCGGCTTCAAGGATCGCCGCCGTCAACCCGCGTGAGGTTTTGACCTTGCCAAGCCCGTACCACGATCTACGGATCACGTTGCAGTTCGGGCGAAAATCGCACCGGCGCCGATTCGGCGCAATTCGGGCCAGACAGCGGAGGCAGATGCCGCATCCCAATTGGAATTTAAATTCCAATTCTGGCTTCCAGTTAATTTTGGCCGGGACTGCTAACTCGTTTTTGTATCGTTAAAGCGATTGTAGTTTAATTTTCTTATTCTAAATATTTGTACGACAAGTTCTAATTTAATTTACGATTCCTATTTAGCCATTATACTTGCGTGTGTGCTTAAAACATAGTATGACATATATAAACCTAAATCAAACTATTCTACAGCGCACATCGATCGTCATCAGGCCTGCTGACTTCGTTGGAGAGTTTGTAAGTACGGCATAGCCGTAAATCATTTACATTCCTACATATATATATTCATTCTTGTCTGAGCCCGCACACTTTTGGTACAAATATATATATGTAAATTCTTCCACATTCGCGTATTGATAAATATTAAATAAGAATCGTTTGCCCTTATATACTTTAACGTAATCCGCCTAAAAGCTTTTCTGTAATTTTTGAGTAAGTTTGCCGCATATCGATAAAATATGTAATCAATTTCGTAATAATTTAACGCAAACTAAATATCCATTTCTTTTCCTATTTGATAATCTTGTACTGGCACACGATCATATAGAGAGTCGTTTGGCGTGAAGAACGCTTAGTTTTAAGGTTTTAGTGTTAGGACTTGTAGTATTTAGAAACATGAACCATTTATCGTATTTGTCGTATCAAATGAAATTTAAGATGAATTAATTTGTGATCTTTTGCGGGCACCTTAGAGGATGTAGCGCAGCGGTTGTTTTAAGGGTGGAGTCTAATGAGACTTCACAGGTAGGGTGGGTATAGAAAGTGGCCAATAACATATGGGCCTCCGTCTTCGATAGGTACAGTCTCTCGTCCGAATTTTAGCCGCTGGGCTAAAAATCCTTATCGTTACCGTCTCTCTGTCTGCTATTGTTAGATCTGTTACACTCTTGTTTCATCTTAACACAAACCCACACCCATCTCTCTGAGCAGACCGGTCAAAGCATAGACAGAGGTGTTAGGGTGGACAGCGCTCATAGAGTGTGTTCGTTACAGGCCTTTAGCTTCAGGACAATGGCGGTTTTAGATACCGTTTGGCATCGTTTGCTGCAGGACTTTTCTACCTGTGGTGAGTTGCAATTTTGATTGGACCGGCATGTAATCCTCTTTCATTCCAGGGTTTTTTATATTCTGGACAGTACAAACAAGTGGCCCTTACGACGACAACCAATACTTATTACGCGCGGAGCCCCAAGCCCTAAAAGACGATATAACAATAGACAGTTTAAAATACATGCTCATATAGAATGGTTTGCAACATAAAAATTACAAACTATTGGATGATAGCAAATACTTAAGTTTATCGTTATTAGTTGCATTAGGCCTATTAAACAGTAAGACGTGATACAGTGCATTATAATCGTCACAAAGAACACGAAAAAGATCAATGATGCTGCAACTGAGAGGTAATAATTTTTTCGAAAAGTTTAGAAATTGAACTGAGTGTAGCAATACCACGATAATTTGAGATATCGGACTTGTTCCCTTTTTTAAACAATGAGATTTAAAATGAGATAGTGGGTATGGAAAATCTTAATTAATAACACTATTGCATTTCGTATATGTCGATTGAAAAAATCTGCGAAAAAGTTGGAAATATCATTATCATCAGATGCTACATTATTATTGAGAAAAAAACAAGAAGGGAAGCAGTTGGATTTCCGTTTAGAATTGACGAAAGCAAAAAGTGTAGGATTACTTTTAAAATCACGCTTACAACAAGACAGATAATTTTTGTAACATTCAAAATTGTAGTGGACAAATTCCGCCTTAGCTGAACTATATTTTGGGGAAGTCTGTCTGCAAGCCGGATATTTTAAGCCGTTTAAAAAGTCAGGTTTTTTTATTCTTTAGATAAGCTAGTTGACGGGTAAACCATGGAGAGCTGTAAGAATTCGTCATAGAGGAAAGAGGGACATGTTCATCAAGTAGACGGTCAAGGACTTCATAAAAGTACCCAACTGCATCATCAACAGGAAGGTCAACTAGATAGGACCAGCTTGCTGTCGATAAAGATTCCACTAGTTTAGGGTAATCAGTCCTCCTAAACACAAACTAGGCTGTACATTTATTGCAGTCCTAGGATTATAAATTTATTAACCAGAGCTGAAGGGTAGGATGATAACAATCTTCAGGTAAAGACAGTGGCGGAATACGACTAGTTTCAGCATCGCTACTATCAAAAACGACGATTAAGTCAAGAAGACGACCAATATTGTTGTGAATCCAGTTAACTTGCTGATAGTATCATCACCATCAATAAAATCATGTTGCATCCCAGAATTCATTGCCAATGAGTCCCCACTCTGCAATAAATAAATATTTGGAAGATTTAAGTCACCGAGCACAATAAGTTGGTCAATTTCAGCAAGCAACAAGGAGATTGAATGTATGTATGTATGAATCAATAAAGTCATGTTCATCCCAGGAATCATTGCCCACGAGTCCTCACTCTCCAACCAAGAAATATTTGGAAGATATAAGTCACCGAGCACAATAAGTTGGTCAATTTCAGCAAGCAACAAGGAGATTGGATGTATGGCGGACATGTGCAATAGATACACATTAAATTCAGAGCCAGGGGATATATCGATTCAGCGTCGCTTGTGACCGGTTGAGTTTATCTTGTGCTCTGTGATTTTTGTCAATTTTTCATTAATATCTGTGATACTGGTCGGTAGGGGCACACAAAAGTGAAAAAAAATATTACTTGTGCAGAGCAAACCTGTAGAAATGATTTTTTTTGTTAATTTTTAAATTATTAACTTATCTGGTTTCCCATTTAGTATAGTATATAAACAAAATTCTAAATAAATTCAAAGGAATTTTGTTTTCCAAACACGTAATCAAATGTCTAAAAAAAAGGTACCCCGAACCTTTCCTCGTATGCAATCCCTGCTATTTCTGAGTAATACGATTTTTTTGAGTTTTCCCTCTAAATGTAATTATTTACAGTTAATAACTTATTTTTAAATGACTTCAATTTTAAGATCGATTATAATCATTTTAAGATTTAATTGAAAACTCAAACCATTTTATATACACTTCTAAACTCGACGATTTAATTGAATTTTATTGGTTTTAATAAAACTGTTAAATTTGCTACGAAAATGTAACTAAGAACTATTTTACTATTACGAGCACCCGTTTTGGATATAATATACAAACTTTAGTTACGGGATCCAAAATATTTAATTTATAATTGAAAATTCTTTAAATTAATATATAAATTAGCTTTAGTTAAGTGTACCTCGACATCCTTGAGCGCCACATAGGCAAGGTATTTTTTCTTCTTTTAATGGAAACTTATAATCGTACGTAATTTCCTCGTTGATTCCAATTGGTTGCTTTGAATATATAACTATCTTCTTTTCAGACTCAATCGTAATGACCTTTGCATAGCAATTCGAGTGCAATCAGAAAAAAAGAACATTAGTAAAACAATTACTATTAGAACCACGAATTCTTACAATGCAACTGTGATTTATAAATCGTGCTAAGTTTGCACATTTAGTTGCATCGATAATAGTTTCCATGTCGATTCGAAACAAATAGGAACTGCCACTTCCAGTTGCTTCGTACTTTGTTTCCCTTAGATTTACAACAACAGGTCTAATCATTTGACCCCAGTCATGTATTGCCGATTTTGCAAACTTAAGCTGCTTTTTCCGAAACTTGAGCTGGTTCAATTTTAAAAGCTCGGATTCACGCATCGAACCAAAAGCAGTTAAAAGTCGGCGTTGGTTTGAGCGCGCTTCACGGGAAATTTCTTGCGTTTTGGATATTAGTTTATTATGGTGGTGCTGTAGGTTCATCGCTACGGTCTTCGTTATGGGAATCTTCTGTATTGGCTTTAGCATAATGGTATTTGTGTTTAGCCTTTTCTCGTAAATCTAATTTGTAAAAACCTTCAGTTCGAGCACATCCAGTTTTATGGCGCAATAGTTCGTCATCTTTCCTACGTTTTTTTTGTGGTGGAGGCCAAAAAGCTCGGTCGGTTGTACAGTGATCCACCCAATGGGTGTTGTTTAAAAACATACTAGAAAAAATGTAGCATATAATAAAATCTCAGCGTTCACTAAAAATCACTTACGCGTATGGCTCCTTTTGCAAATGGTCCGAGTAGCTCATTTTTATGAAGTTAATGTCTTCTGCATCGATGCCTTTAGTTAGGAAAGTGTATAAAATTACCATTTCCTCATTCTGGTCACGAGCTTTATACATCTCACAAGGTACAAAATTGGCTGTTTTTCGTGCCAACTCGGCTATAGCATCTGCAATTGGGGCTATTTTATTCTTCACATTAGGTATCCGCGGAATTGAATCTTTTTTTTTTCTTTGAGAGCGAATAGTATCCTTTCGAGGTCTGCCTGGACCTGACCTAGTCATTTGATCAACAATTATAATGTTAGCCGATTTTCGTTCCAACATAGAGTTACTATCCTTTAATGTTCCAGATGGAATACCGCCAAAGGGAACTGTCTGAGCGTGGGGCGGTAACGAATAGCAATGTTCCAGCGCAACCTGGCTGGCCTGCGATGCTTGGCTGGAGCCACCGTCCGAAGATGCTGGTGATTGAGATATTTTGGTTTCGTTCTTTGAATTTTTGCACATTTGGTAACAACCATTTAAAACTACTTCACCATCTTTCTTGGCGTCTGATTCGTTGTCCTTATCAGGTTCTATATTTATATTATAATTTAAACTTCTGAAGCCTAAATTAGCTTGCAAGGTAGATTTATCTTCATTCATATAAATTGGGGACTTTCTGCTGTTTGATATAGGATTAGACAATGGCAAGTTTTCATCCAAAACAATTTCAAACTTTTTCTCTTGTTCCTCTAAAAATTCTCTTTCAATTTGGGCCATGTATTCAGTATTCCTTCTTCTTTTTTCCTGGTACTCTCGCTCTTCTTCAGAATCGCTGTAAATTCTATTATAGTCAAAAACTGACTTTCGTTCACAATCATCTATCTTTTGAATGGCCTCTTCATTGTAGCCCGGTGGCGGTACAGGTGTAAGAGAGCGACGAAACTCTTCATTTATTTTTGGCGTACTTTGTTGCTCTGATTCAAACGCGGGATCTATCTCGATTTCGCGCAATTCGCAGCAACTATCTTTACTTATATCTTCGAGATCAGAAGGAATAGATGACATTTTGTTTTCTTGTAACGCAGGAAACAAATTTTTCAATTTAGTATCTTCATTATCTTCATCGGTATCGGAATAAATATTACTTTTTTTTGTGCGTTTCGTTATGTCGTTTTTCCTGTACTCATCAGAGTCTGAAAACATGTTTCTTAGGTCAACACTTTCATTATCTCTTAAAACCCCTCGGCTTCTTTTCTTAATCTTTTTTTTCCGTTGATGCCGATTTTTTTGATTATGTTCGTCTTGAAGATCGTTTTCACTCGTTCCTTCCTTTTCATCACATTCGTTGCCTTCATACTCAGCTTCACTAGATGAGGATGGAGACGAAAAAAAGCTGGAAGCACTTCCTTTTCGTTTTGAATTTACATCAGAGTCATGGTTTGAAATTTCACTCTTTAAATTTGAGAGTGCTGTCGTATCAGAGCTGCCCATATTAGAATCTTCCTTTTCTGAGTCTGAACGTTGTACCATTTCCTCTTGGTCACTTAAATCTCTTTCCAAAAAAATTCCCGTGTCTGGAATTGGACTAGAGTGATTTCTTATACGCCGAAACGATGGTAACTTGAGCATTGCCGCTCTTAAACTTATACTTGAGAACGTTTGAAAATCTGCGATTTCCCGTTGCGTATTAATTATATGAATAATGTCTGCAGGCTTCTCGTTATACGTAGTTTCTGTGAGGAAATTTGAAGTTGTATTGTAGGTTGATTCTGCAATATCGGTTTTGGTCGAGATTTTAATGTGTGCTCGTCACACCATGTCTCAAAATTTTTAAATGCCGTTATTTCAATCATGCGCTTACTTACATCTCTTTTTAAAATGCGCTGTAACTCTTCGGCAATATAGTTTATAACCTTTTATACCTTTAAGGGTATCTTATTATTCTGGTCCGAAACATTAATTATATGGTAGTCATAGGGCTCAGCAATCGAATCAAAATGAAATGACCCAACGCCTTTCAAGTAATCGGACTGTATGTAGGCGGCAAATCGGCTAGCAAAAGCAGAGTCCGGCGAGATACCGGAAGGATAATGTCCATAGCCAGAAGAATGGTAATAAAATTGATTTTGATCTGTTGAATTTGGATACATGTAAGACGACGGCACAATAGGTCTCTTATATTCCCCATCTTCCAAAGTCAATACACTTTGGATAGGATCCTCATGGGAAGATAAACTTGATAAAGACGTATTGTCATCAAGTTTTTCTTTTTCACTTGTAAAACTGTTTTTAGACATTTCCTTCCTAATTAATATTTCCTCGTCCCTTGATATATCACTTGCTCCATTGGGTTGTTGTAAAGCTTTCATATTCCTTACGTGACTTGTTTGAATCGGAATTATTTTCAAAAGACACAAGACAAGATCCAAAATCCACACCAAAAATATGGCTGTACATTCCGTTGAATGGTTATAACTTATCATGTAGTCTACATTATATTTGCATAGATCGACTTGGATAGTGATCCTAATCAAGAATATATATACTTTATGGGGTCGGAAACGCTTCCTTCTGCTTGTTACATACTTTCCGACCAACCTAGTATACTCTTTACTCTACGAGTAACGGATAAAAATATATCGACGTATTTGGTAGGGGCACATAAAAGTGAATAAAAATTTTACTTGTGCACTGTAAACTTGTTGAAAAGATTTTTTTTTGTTAATTTTTCAATTTTTAACTTAGCTGGTTTCCCATTTAGAATAGTATAAAAACAAAATACTAAATAAATTCAAAGGAATTTTGTTTTCCAAAAACGTAATCAAATGTCTAAAAAAAGGTACCGAACCTTTCCTCGTATGCAATCCCTGCTACTTCTGAGTGATACGATTTTATTGAGTTTTCTCTCTAAATGTAATTATTTACAGTTTATAACTTGTTTTTAAATGACTTCAATTTTAAGATCGAAATAATCATTTTAAAATTTAATTGAAAACTTATAGCATTTTATATACACTTCTAAACTCGACGATTTAATTGAATTTTATTGGTTTAAATAAAAATGTTTAATTTGCTATGAAAATGTAACTAAGAACTATTTTATTGTACTATTGTTTTTATTTACACGAGCACCCGTTTTGGATATAATATACAAACTTAAGTTACGGGATCCAAAATATTTAATTTATAATTGAAAATTCTTTAAATTAATTTATAAATAAGCTTTAGTTAAGTGTACCCCGACATCCTTGAGCGCCACATAGGCAAGGTATTTTTTCTTCTTCCAATGGAAACTTATAATCGTACGTAATTTCCTCGTTGATTCCAATTGGTTGCTTTGAATATATAACTATCTTCTTTTCAGACTCAATCGTAATGACCTTTGCATAGCAATTCGGCTGCAATCAGAAAAAAAGTACATTAGTAAAACAATTACTATTATAACCACGAATTCTTACATTGCAACTGTGATTTATAAATCGTGCTAAGTTTCCACATTTAGTTGCATCGATAATAGTTTCCATGTCGATTCGAAACAAATAGGAACTGCCAATTCCAATTGCTTCGTACTTTGTTTCCCTCAGATCTGCAACAACGGGTCTAATCATTTGACCAACGTATTCAATAACCATTTCGTCGGCAGCTATAGGCTCCATTGCAAATAATCCCCAGTCATGTATTGCCGATTTTGCAAACTTAAGCTGCTTTTTCCGAAACTTGAGCTGATTAAATTTTAAAAGCTCGGATTCACCCATCGAACCAAAAGCAGTTAAAAGTCGGCGTTGGTTTGAGCGCGCTTCACGGGAAATTCCTTGCATTTTGGATATTAGTTTATTATGGTGGTGATTGGTGAGTGCTGTAGGTTCATCGCTACGGTCTTCGTTATGGGAATCTTCTGTATTGGCTTTAGCATGATGGTACTTGTGTTTAGCCTTTTCTCGTAAATCTAATTTGTAAAAACCTTCAGTTCGAGCACATCCAGTTTTATGGCGCAATAGTTCGTCATCTTTCCTACGTTTTTTTTGTGGTGGAGGCCAAAAAGCTCGGTCGGTTGTACAGTGATCCACCCAATGGGTGTTGTTTAAAAACATACTAGAAAAAATGTAGCATATAATAAAATCTCAGCGTTCACTAAAAATCACTTACGCGTATGGCTCCTTTTGCAAATGGTCCGAGTAGCTCATTTTTATGAAGTTAATGTCTTCTGCATCGATGCCTTTAGTTAGGAAAGTGTATAAAATTACCATTTCCTCATTCTGGTCACGAGCTTTATACATCTCACAAGGTACAAAATTGGCTGTTTTTCGTGCCAACTCGGCTATAGCATTAGGTATACGCGGAATTGAATCGCGAATAGTATCCTTTCGAGGTCTGCCTGGACCTGACCTGACCAAGTCATTTGATCAACAATTATAATGTTAGCCGATTTTCGTTCCAACATAGAGTTACTATCCTTTAATGTTCCAGATGAAATACCGCCAAAGGGATCTGTCTGACTGGCCTGAATAAACAATGTTCCAGCGCAACCTGACTGGCCTGCGATGCTTGGCTAAGCCACCGTCTGAAGATGCTGGTGATTGAGATATTTTGGTTTCGTTCTTTGAATTTTTGCACATTTGGTAACAACCATTTAAAACTTCTTCACCATATTTCTTGGCGTCTGATTCCTTCTCCTTATCAGGTTCTATATTAATAATATAATTTAAACTTCTGAAGTCTTAATAAGTTTGCAAGGTAGATTTATCTTCATTCATATAAATTGGGGTCTTTCTGCTGTTTGATATAGGATTAGACAATATCAAGTTTTCATCCAAAACAATTTCGAAATTTTTCTCTTGTTCCTCTAAAAATTCTCTTTCAATTGGGGCCAATCGTGGTACTCTCGCTCTTCCTCAGAATCGCTGTAAATTCTATTATCTTGTGAACTTTCGTTCACAATCATCTATCTTTTAATAGATGATATTTTCATTGTAACCCGGTGGCGGTAAAAGTGTAGGAGAGCGACGACACTTTCCATTTATTTTTGGCGTACTTTGCTGATCTGATTCAAACGCGGGATCTATCTCGATTTCGCGCAATTCGAAGCAACTATCTTTACTTATATCTTTGAGATCAGAAGGAATAGATGACATTTTGTTTTCTTGTAACGCAGGCAACAAATTTTTCTATTTAGTATCTTCATTATCTTCATCGGTATCGGAATAAATATTACTTTTTTTTGTGCGTTTCGCTATGTTGTTTTTCCTGTACTCATCAGAGTCTGAAAACATGTTTCTTAGGTCAACATTCAACATTTTCATTATCTCCTAAAACCCCTCGGCTTCTTTTCTTAATCTTTTTTTTCCGTTGATGCCGATTTTTATATTCGTTACTCGTAGAGTAACGGAAAGTGTACGCCAGGGGGTAGCGGGGTACCGTAGTGGCGCTGATGGAATGGCGTGGGAGGCGACGGCGGGAAACTGGCGGCGTCGGCGGGCTGCTGCCCTGGGCTTCGGCGGTGAGCGGGAGAGCGGTGCAGCTGGATAGCGGGGCCGGTCCAGATTCGCCGGACAGTGGGCCTGAACATTCCGCCCCCCTTGCAATCGCTAGCGTTGCAAAAAATAAAGGAGACGGAACTTCGGCCAGTCGCCTACGCCTCAAGCCTGCGTACAGGCGCCGGAGAGGATCCACCCGAACACCGTCTTCTGGGCTACTGGCAGTCCGTCGTCGACCATGTGAAAGCCCGGCTGTATCACCTTCGGGTAGACGTCCGCGCCCAGGATCAATGAAATAGTGGCTGGCCGGTGGAAACGCTCATCCGCGAGCGGTAGCTCCTTAAATATCTGGACGACGCTCTTACTGATCGCACGGATGGGGGTGCGGATGCGCACGTTCGGCTCGATCTTGAGGACCACCTCCAGCTTGATGGCCTCGTCGACCTTCGAACGAATCGTCGCAGTGCATATCTCATCGCCCACGTTTGTTTACGGCAAACGAAACGCGGCGGCCAGGGATGCATCAATGGAGCTTGTCGGGGTGCACGGATCGATGAGTGCGGCGGTGTCGAACGTCTTCTCTCCGGTCTCGACGATCACCAAAGCGGTCGGGAGGACATTGACGCTATGACGCTGGAGAAGTGCGGCGAGCGACGGAGCTGGTGTCAAGGATGCTGAGCGCGGTGAAGGGGCAGGCGTTTGGCGAGTTGGCGAGTTGGCGGATCTTGCCGGCGCGAACTCTGCGGAGAAGCGGGCTGTTGCTTGGAGCGGGACTTTTTCCGGGAAACAAGGTCGTGCATGTGCAGCAGCGTGTGATGGTTCCGGTTGCACGTACTGCATCGGTCACCGCTACGACAGCTCCCAGTGGAGTGCTCGTGTGCGAGACAGTTCGCGCAGTACTATTTATGAGAACTGCCCGCAACCGCTTCTCCGCGCTCAGCTTTAGGAACCTCTGACACTTCCGAAGAGGATGGATTCCGCGGCAGACTCGGCATCGGTGGGACTGAGTACCTCTAGTATCCAAAGCCTGAGCGCTACGTGGACGGGGAGTCATTTTCCTGTTTAGAGTGTGGATAAGGAAAAAACAAAAAGGGCTGATTAACAATGACGTGGATAATGGCTACGGACTAAGGTG